GATATTTCTTGGTCCAATTTTCTGTCTACTACATTACGGGAAGAAGTGTTTAAAGCATGATTGACTAAGTTACTGCAGCTGGTTTATAAACAAAAGAATAGATGAATGTGTACACATTAAAGTCATGTGAGTCTGGAAAAGAAAGAAATTAAGCTGAATTGTATAAAGCATGGATATGTGTTTATGAAAGGGGAGGAGTGGCAGCCTGAAATTCTCTTACAAGGTTGTCAAGGTTACAGGGAGCATTGCTTCTATAGGTGAGTGGCTTGAGTATTCTCTGTTGATAATTGGTATTGGCTGTTTTCTTCTGAGATAACAACATTTGCATTTTAATTAAATCCCACTGTATTTATCAACATTAGAGCATATAACGTCATAATTCATTGGAAGTTTTTTCGTAGTATCAATTTAAAAACTCATAAAAACATTTTGTAAAAGTTGCATTTACTCCAGTGGAATCTTTGTTTATCTTTGAGAGGTTTAAGAAGCAATATCAAACCATAAAATCCTAATGAATAAGACCTAGTTAGGCTGAGACCACATTGACCCTTCTAGAAACTTCCAAGTTACTTATTTAGTGGTTCTAGTGTCAGGCTCATTTTTATACTGGGAAAACTATATTATGTTTCCTTATGGACAACCCTGTGACAGCAGGAACAGCCTCTTAGCCTTGCAAAAGTTTTCCCACTGCTGAGTGCTTTTTGGCACAAGTAAAAATGACAGGATCTTTTCTACAGTATTTTGCAAAACACATTTCTATTAGTGTTTGCATTAGGCATGTCCTGTCACACTGCTTGTCTTGCAAGAGTGAGACAAGGTTATATCTGGAGTTGGTGTAAAAAAGTGCAGCCTTGTTTGTGTCACTGGAATTAGGCATCTGTAACAGACTGTCCTCAAAGTATGACAGAGTCCTGCTACATCTACAGTTTGTGCCATGAACAGATCTAGAATTTTGAAAAGGGGGGATGCCAATGGTGAGGTTCATCAGCAAATATACAACAACACACATTTTTCTTCAATTAAACAAAAAAACTAGAAGCTTTACTAATATGCTAGGGGCCTAGAGCTGGGTTATTCTGTTTAAATTGAAGCAAAAGCAAATATAACTTAGCTGCAATGAGTTAAAAACAGTCTGCAGGGCTGTGAAATAAGAGTTGCATTACTGGGAGCAGCTAACAGAGAGCAGAACAAAGGATAGCTTGATTGGTGGCACATCAAGACCATTAAAAAGGATTGTTAACACTTATGGAATGAAGTCAATTGACTCCCTCAGTGCTGCCGGACTAGAAGTGCTGCTGCCACTGTCAAGCAGTGGGTTATAAACTTTGGGTGGACCAGGAATCAAAGGGGAATGCAAGTGCACAAGTGAATCCACGCCTGGATTCTACTGTTAGAAGAAACAGTGTTTTAGAAGTAAGTTTAGGGCAACCAGTGGGCTTTTTCTGGCCAAGATAAAGTGTTTTACTTTCCATTATCCCTGGTGGAGAGATGGATAATCCAGATCACTCTAACACCTGAACTAGCAAATATTCATACAGGCACAATAGCAAAATAACAATACAAAGAAAGAGCAGTGCTTTTGCACTTTAAATGCTTCTTAAGTGACAGATAAGTAACATTTTAAAAAAAAATCTTGCTGTGTCTTTTATACACCATGGCATGTCATGCCATCTGTAATTAGAAGTGACACATCTTACTGAATTACATATTGAAAACCCACAGTTTGCTCAAACCAGAGTGTGGCTTAAAACACCTTAAAAGCATTTGAAGTAGCTTCCCTGGAGTGAAATAAGGGATGCTAGTTCTGTTTTTCCTTCCCTTCCCTTCCCATCCCTCATCTGCTTAGTACCTAGCTACTTGAGCAGAACCTAGGGAGAAGTTCTGCCTGTAGTTAAATGACTTTGGCTTTTGATCTAGATAACCACTAGTATCTATCCATTATCCTTTAGTCAGTTGTCCCATCATGTCTCTGAGTATATATAAAAAGAGAGCTTGGTAGGTGATTTAAATCAAGCTAAGTGTTTTTAAAGTGCATTAACAATAAGATTGAGATCTGCCTGTTCAAAATCCTTGTGCATCTCCCAAGGAATTAAATATACATGATGCTTCCTTGCTGAGTCAGAAGTATGCAGCAGTCCAACAGAGAGCACCCTCTTGTACATCTGTATCTCTTGAAATGAATCTCTCATCTCTTGCAGGACAGATTATGAGTACCTTCATTATTATGAAATCAAGACTCATAGTAGAGATGATATCTTTTATTGGACCAATAAGATTTTTGCAAAAATCTTTCTTTAATTGCAAGCTTTCAGGCACAAATACCAGTCATCGGGCATTGGAGAAAAGACTGTAGAAGTTCAGTCTCCAGTTACCTTTGCAAGTGGAACCCAGAAAAGAAGAGACATACAGAAGTGGAGTAACAATAAAAGCTTTAGAGTTCATCTTCTGAAATGCACTACAGTGTAGAGATTGAGGACATGTGTGTAAGTGAAAATAGATAGTAGGTGCCCCTCAAACACTGGGTGAATATTCTTATTAATCCTGCTAATGCCTTTTCAGTGAGGCATAATCCTCTTCTTACAAGTGAGGACATATTTTACATCACCATACAGCTTGGAGCTAGGAGTCAAGTTCAAGGTGTTTGTGGTTTCCAGTACCATGTACAGTCCATTTGAACTTGCTAGTTAAAAGGTCCAGAGCTGAATTTTGTTTTAACACCAGTAAGTCACAGGAGTCAAAGGACTTGTAGACTGGGGATTGATGCATTGTGTACAGTTTTGTTCCAAGAATATCCACATGTTTATATGCATATAGGCATCAGTGGGTTGTTTTGCTAGAACAGGGTAGAATTAGCTCACAGTGAACTCTGTCCTGCTGTGGCCAGGCAGCTGATTTAAAGCCAGCATATCTGTGACTGCAGTGCAGACATGGCTCACTGCTGGAGATGGATCATGCCTGTTCCGTGGTGATTATGTACCTGTTAAGTGGCATCTATGTGCTGACTCCCTGGACAGTGCATTTTGTCTTTGCTGATTGAGCAGTTCTGTTATATACCTTTTCAATCCAGGGCCTTTACAGACCAATACATAAAATGCTTAGGATTCTTTATTAATTGATGATGTAAAACCACTTTCAGGCTAAACCATAGGCATTTAGGTACATGAAAAATCAGGCAACTAGAAAGTTCATCTGAAACATGCCCAAGGATGCTAGGATTAATAACAATATTGGTAAAAAAAACTTTACTGCACTTGCAGACTACAGATGGTCAGGATTCCAATGGTCTGTCTCTTCTGGAAAATATGGTACCTTCTGCAGCACCCTCAGAAGAAAGAGGGCCAATGCTCCTTACAATAGTTGAAGTCTCTTGTTCTGGCACTGCTCCAGCCCAGGGATGCATAACTTATGAAAAGGAGTCAAAACTAAGTGGTGGTAATATAACATAAGCAAAAAAACAAACAAACAAGGGTGCTGATCTTAATGTTGGCACATACTGGCAATTCTGTAACAGGCAAAACGTTGAATGAGGGAAAAGCTTTAAAACCCTAAGGGAAGCAAATTGTTTTAGAGGTCTGGGCTGCAGACCATCTGAAAAAGGAAAAGCTGTGTTGTTCAATCTGCACAGCATAAAATTCTCTCTTCAAATTTATGTGAAAAGTACACTACATAAATATATATAGACTCCTTTTACCTGGGCAACTCTACAGTATTCTGCCTAGTGTAGTGTCCACCATTGGTATGGTAGTTGTAGTGGCCAGATCATGAATGAAATTACGTTTTTCACTCCAAAGAGAAGCATAAATCATCTGACCTGTGCCTTCAAAATTATGATGTTGTTCTACTATTTATTTGCAAGAATAGGCAAAAACATGGGCCATTTCTAGAGTTTTATATGATGTAGCACAGCACTTGGTGTGGTTCTTCTCACAGATTTAAGCAACTGAAGATCTAGTCCTCAACCATAATTACTGTACCTCTTGGGCAAACACCTTCAAAGTTTGCTGAGTTTTTTGCCTACCTAAATTCCCCTAGAGTTTCAGCCAGATGAACTCAATGCACTTTAGTTCTAGGTTGCATATAAGGTTTGCTGTGTCCTGTTAACCAGTCAGGTTGCACCTTAGAAATAAATTGACTTTTGCATGCTAAATGCATGATGTGCCCTGGTCCTTTGAGAAGATAGCGTATAAATATGAGCTGGTCATTGGTAGAGTTTAGAGCACTGACATGAATACTTTTGGATTCTGGTGCTGGAAATTGATTCCTCTTTTTTGACAGGTAATTGCACGTGCAGCCACCTGTGACAGAGCAATATGATAGCATTAGCTTCTGACAGCATCATATCTGTCAGCCTGGATACTCTATGGGTAGGCACTTTTGCCCCTTCCTTGGAAACCAAGTGGTTTCAGAACACTTTGGGAAGGGGCACTTAGCGCGCAGGCTGCAATAATGACTCAAATTACTCTGCTCTGCTAGAGACTAAATAGTTTCTCAATTTAGAGAAAATAAAGCACTTGGGTATTTTCTGCTCAAGACACATTCTAAACATGTTTTCAATGAAAACAAGCAAACAGTAGAACCTAGCACAGGTTGCATAACAACCTGCAGTAGCCCTGTTGTCGTCTGCTCTCTGGACCGTAAAGAGTCTTTTCTTATATCTGAAATCTGTGTTACTCTGGATGGTCAAACTCTGTCCAGATGTCTACTCCAACTGTCTGTTTCACATTATCTTGCTATAGAGTGCTGAACAACTAGCATGATTTTCTATTCCTGGTGGGAGGGAATTATGGCCATACGCAAAGCAAGCCAAGAACCAAAAGTTCTTACGATCTTACTCTGCATTTAAACCTCCTGTACAGCCTTCACAGCCTGTGGTAGAAGTAGCATATTCTTTGTTAGGAATTTTAGATTTGCTTTGCAGTGTTTAACAAACCTAAGCTAGACAGGATCACAGTATGTTTTAAGTATCACAGTTGCATTCTAAATTATTTGCTTTGTTTTAGGCCCCAACTGCTTTGCAGAAACCACTGTCATTCCAGCAGGCCGAGAGGTGAAAACTGACGAATGCACTATATGTCATTGTACTTATGAAGAAGGCACTTGGAGAATTGAACGACAAGCTATGTGCACTAGACATGAATGCAAACAAATCTAGGAAACCTACAAATCAAAGTACTTTGATTTTTTATAAAACATTTCACTGCGGTGAGCACTCAAGATGACTCTGGGAAATCTGAATCATTGTAATTAGAAGATTTGGGGAAGGAGAAAAGAATGGCATCCTGGTATTTTGTTTTTCATAGTAACATAATACTGCAAGGCAAAGAAATGCACATATTTAAAGAAGTTTGGACATAAAGATTCCTGTCTTAATAAATGTGTTTTATTTTCACAGGGAGTACACTGAAGTATACTCTATCAAATATTCTATGTATTTCTATAATCCCATTATAGAGCTTAAAAATAAATGTTTTATATAGATAATACAGATTAAAATACTGTATGGTCACCTGTCCTACTGTATACATGAACCTTGGCTAAAACATTTCCATTCTAGTTTTATCATCTTTTTCTTTTTTCTGTTGTGGGTAACAGTATTTTGTGCCTGGCCAGGAAATAGCCAGCAGATCACAGACTTTAGATACTTTTAAAAAGTATATGTGGTGTTTCAAAGAATATTTCTGTGCAAAAGTGGGCCCAGTCCTCTTTTCAGTTTACTGGTGCCTCCCCAGAAATGGTGTAATTGGGAACAAAGCTTGAAACTGCAACTTCTGTAACACCCACTACGAATCTCTGGTTGGATAAATCACATTAATCCCCCCAAAAATGAATCTGATGCATCACATGAGGACTAATTCCATAGTGATGTAAACTGTAGCATCCTATATCTAGGGTGAAGAACTGTAAGTAGCAAAGCAGTGTAATTTGCAATTTCTTAACATTTAAAGAGTAAGCAAATGAAGGTAACTGAAACAACAGAGGGTGAAGGGGAGTGCAGCAGGTAAAGCAAGTAAAGGAAAGAAGATTAAGCAGGACTCTTACAAGAAGTTTTTTTCTGCTACTAAGGTCCTGATTGATGAAAGCAATTCCATGTGGTCTTCACTTTAAGCATAAGGTTTTCTCAGAAAGGGAAACATTTGTGAATCTGGCAGAATAGAGTGTTAGTGTCATGTTAACTACCTTGTTGAAATGAAAAATTATTTACATTATGTGGTTCAGAGACTTCTATCAATTCACCATGGGTAAAATCCAAGCCAGGCTGAAGTTAATGGAAATGTCATTGACATCAGGATTTCTCTCCCAGTCTGGAGTTTTCATATACATACATGCTTTATCAGGTTATTTTTCCAGATATATCATAAGCAAAAATGGTCAAGCAAACAGTTATATGTAGAGGACACAAATATGCCAGACAGACTGAAGCTAGGTATGTATAGCTATTCCAAATCTGACTAAGAGCAATCACAAGATGCACCTCAAGATGTAGCCTCAGTCCCCACAGGTAGAGACAGAGAGAAAGAAATCTGAGACAGACAGCTGCAGCTGAACTGCTCAAACCCCTCTTACCTGTCAAAATGATTTCCCTCAAGCGTATACACAACAACGTAAAAACCTCCAACATTGCAGTTGAAATAGAAGTGATTCTGCAGCAACTGGATTGCCAACAGGTGGGTACTAAATACCTCACCATAAAACTGAACTCTGAGTCAGAGTGCTTGGTTCTGTTGCACCACTTATTTCCTGAATGGCAATGTCTAGCTCAGTAGGTTCCTACTCCATAGGTGTGTGTACATGAGATGCTTTACTGTGAAGTAGCGTAGTTTACTGTGCAGTAAGCATTTGCATCTACATGTGCTCATGCTTACTACGCAGTAAACCTCACTATTGCAAGTAAATTTGCTCCCTGCAAATGCAAGTAGCAAGTATACTCATGAATAGTTATTGCGTAGTAATGCCCAACAGGGAGCAAATGTACTCCTGGTTAGCCAGTCACCGGGGGTGGGAGATTGCTTCCTGCCCCTGGGAGCTGCCTGCTGCTGGGGCAGGCTCTGCCATTGCAGCCTGGGTGGGGACTATGTCCCCCTGCCCTGGCAGTAGGAAGCTCCAAGGTCCTTGCTTTAAGATTGAAATCAGGGAGTGGGGGTTGGGCAATCCTTATCTCCCAGCCCCCATTTTGCCATCAGAATTGGGGAGTGGTGGGGCTGGGATCTCCCTGCTGGCAGGGGCTAGGGAGCCTGTTCCCTGCCCAGCTCCATGCATGCAGAGCTGGGCCGGGAACAGGCTCCCCAGCCTGTTTCCCACCCAGCTCCGTGATTGCAGAGCTGAGAAGGGAACAGGCTCTCTACCCTCTGACCTGCAATTGCGGAGCAGGGGCTGGGAACTGTCCCAGTAAGGGGCAGGTCCCAACCCTGCACCCTGATCTAGAGATTGAGGTGTGGAGATTGGAAAGAGCTTCAGGGGTGGGGCAGGTCCCAGCCTGCTGCCCCATCCACCTGTGGGGCAGCTATTAGCGAGCCCTCAGCTGGGTAAGGAATTCCCGTGGGTGGATTGGGGCAGGGGGCTGGGACCTACCCCTCACCTGCAGTTCTTTCCAAGTCCACTGCCTGGATCAGGGATATGGGGCTGGGAGCTCCTTGCTGGCCAGGGGGACATTGTCCTTGCCCTGGCAGCAGACAGCGCCCTGGGACAGGAAACAATGTCCCAGCCCAGTCCTTCCTGCCAGCCCCCTGCACCTAGGGGAAGCCTAGAGCTTCCTCTGGCAGTGGCAGGAGCCCTTTGTAAGGCTGCAGGAAGTGGAAACAGCTTGCTGCTAGGAGCAGCAAATCTGCTTCCACATCCCTGCATGTCTAGGTGCCTGCCTGGAAGTCTTTACTGACAAGTAAACTGATCGCAGATCAAATGCATGTGTAGACGCACCCTGTGTGAGTCAAAAGAAGAGTATGGCTCTAAATCAGATCCATATCTGATTTGGTAGGTCTGTGTTGATGTATTGATTTCACTGAGATTACTCATAAAAATGAAGCTAGCAAGCTAGGTCTTGAATTACTAAGACCCAGATCTTTCCTATTGAAATCAATGGCAGTTAGATGCTTAAATACCGCTGAGAATTTTAGTCTAAAAGCCTATTCCTAATTCCTTCCGCTGTACTAATATGATATTCCATGTTTGTTTCCTTGAGACTAGTGGACTGTTTGCATAGAAGCTTCTATTCAATGCGAGTTAAAGCAGTGGAATTGAAACTAATTTATGTAACTTGCAGGAACTGGGATTCAGAATAGGATGATAAACTGTCTACCTTATCAGGACATTTACTATTGTATTTAGGTAGTGAAATGATATCAAATTTACCATGTTTACATCTCTTAAAGCATATGCCCATAAAGTTTAACTTTAAAACTTTTAATTACATGAAAACTCAGCCTGTCTTCCACTCAAGATCCTTGCTAAGATCACATTGTTTCTGTTGGGCATGGATTTCCATTTTGTTGGGAGCTTGGTTATCTTTCAAGCGGTAAGTACATAAGTAAATGATTTATATTTTTTCAGGAGCAAAACTAGAGCAGAAAGCGTGAGGCATCAGCACTGGGCACCAACTATTGAGGAAGCACCAAAGAGACATTTGGCAATCTTTCAATGGCATGAGCCACCCTGCCAGGCACAGGAGCAGGCAGGAAGGCTACCCACAGCAGTGTCTCTGGGGAAAAGGAAAATGGTGCTCCCTACAGCCCCCAGAGAACCTGCTATAGCAGGCACAGCCCTGTACCCAGTAGTATATTTGGGGGGCACAAGGGATGACTCCCAGGGAGCCCAGACACAGGGGCTACTGCTGCCTGAGCCAATGCTGCTATAGAAGTAGCAGCAGCAACCACCTTTGTAGAGAAGAGCAGCAGGTAAGACTTCACTAATCCTCCATCCCTCACCCCCCTGCTATCTGGGAGTCGGCATACCCTCCTACCCCCTCGCCCACCTGAGGTGCTGAAAGGACTTGTTATACCTCTGTATTTTCCCCATTATGCTTTAGCTGGGCTAGGGTGATATTTGGCTGGGGTGTTATGACCCCAGCACTCATTCCTGCCTGGGACAGGGGGTCGGACTTGATCTGTTTAGGTTCCTTCCGACCCTAAGCACTATGAAACTATAAGCTATTCCAAATGTTTCAAAATGTCTTATACAATTATTTAATAATTGGTGAAAGGAACCTAGAAACAGAATGACCTTAACTTAAATGGACCTAAGGAATACCCAGTTACCTAAACTTACCCAGGGATGGCAGCACTCCCTCTCCACAACAACTATGATTGCTTTTCTTGTTGGCAGCCTCAACTGATGCAAAAGGACTGCGAGAGCCTGAGGGCTGTTCTAGTGCTGCTAAGCGAAGTAAAGCCACTTTGGCAATGTCATACGGGGTACATGTAGGGCTTGTGTATAAAAGCTTTAAACTCTTGGGTTGTCAGTTGGGTATCTTGAACCTGCACTCATTCTCTAGCATTTAAAAGATGGGGATAGGAATGCTTCAGATAGGCCAGGGTTTATTCAGTCAATGGAGAAAAGTACATGGATTAAATTTAAAAACGAGGTCACTTGTAACCTGTTCCCTATGTGCCGAGGCCTCAAGTGGAAACACCTTGCATATAGCCTTTCAAGAAGCAGTGGAAAAGAAAAATGAAACTTTACTGAGTACAGAATACAGCTAGAGAGTGAGGACTCCTAAACCTTTTAGAGCAAAATAGAATGTTTTGATGGCCATGTTAAATATCAGCGTGGAAATCTGCATTTATCTAAATCTCACCACCCAGCCAACATAATATTGCTGTTCACATTAAGAAGTTCCTGTTTAACATCCACATTAAAAAATGTAGAATTAAAATCCAACTGCATAGTTTTTAATGAGCAGAGCCCAAAGCGTGTTGAATAGCGCAGACTCCCAGACAGAGTGAGACATCTTCATCTGAGGTTTGAACAAAATAAACAGTAAAGCAATGAAAGCAAGCTCAAGATGTTTCTTGAACAGCCACTTTATTCGTTATTGGAAGTTTAATTTAACTCTTTTCAGTGTGTAAATTCCAACGAGTAAAATGTATTTACTGAAGTGAAAAATGTCAGTTTGCCATTAAATACAAGCCTATGTGTAATATAAGTAATTTAGAAAATACATTTGGTTTACAGATTAATGTATATTGTCCAAAACAGGTAATCTAAAGTGATCTGAGTAACTTTGATGGTTCCTGAATACACTTGTCTTTAAAGGTGATTTGGTCTTTTGGGGGGCAATAGGGGATTTTCCTTCCCTAGCTGTTATCAGAGGCATTTGCATTAATACAGAATTTCTGCTTTTAATTTGCCTGCTTCTTCCCGATTTGAAATCAGAACCAAATTACTCTGCACAATTTTACTGATGTAAGTGGAGTTATAATAGTGGCAAATTGGCCTTTAAGACAGCCTAAGTATCATATGCTTTCAAGTAAGGAATAGGCAATGCATAGTTGTAAAATAAAATTCTAGTGCCTGGGAAAATGCACGTTATGCTAACAATGGGGGGAGCGAAACCAGAAAATGCAAGAAAGAAATGTTGTTCTTAAACACAACTTTAAAATTCCCTCTACTGTGGTCTTTCATGTTGGTTGGAAACTGCTGGTGAATATGGCTAGAAAGGCATTTGGGAAGATTTTTTTTTTATTACTCTATTTAAGCCAAGTAAAATGAATGTTGATGTTTTCCTTTCTAAGTGTTCACGTACAGATTGGAGAAAGAGGATTAGAAACTCAGATGCGTAGAAAATAAGATATAAAGTCAAAGGCTGGTGTAAGAGCAAAAAGAATGAGCAACTGGGGATCAACAAAAGGAAAATTGATACTGGCTTGAGAGTGATAGTGGAAGAAATATAGCAAGCCAAACAAAAAGGAGAAAACTCCCTGAATATGGCTATAGGAGAGTGATGGAGTGGAAGCTACCATAGGCGTAGGAGATAAATGAATGTGGTAAAGGTGGCCCATTTGGAGGAGAGGGCTGTTCCCACAGTACACATTAGAATGAAGGAAAAGGAAAGTCTCATAGAACATGAAGGATGTTGATATGCCAAAAAACGGAGATCAAGCATAAACTGGGAAAATAATAGAAGATTCCCTGCTTTCTGGGAAAAGATCTCCTTGCTTCCAGTTGTGCAATGGAACACAGATTAGGCTTTTATGATAGTAAAATGAAAATAATTAATAGTATCTTTTCATGCAATTATAGTATATATGCCATGATATCTATACCAAATGAATTTTCAAAAGAAATTAATTTAAAAGTCAGGCTGACACCTACCACTGGAATTTCTTTCCTCCTTGCTTCCCATTTCTCTAGCTAGCCAGCATGTTGCCTTGCAAGGCACTCACTACTCTGTTCATATTGTTTCATAAACTAATTACTGTGTTATACTGCCTAGTATTTTATTGAGGGCACAGCGAGGCAAACAGCAATAAACAATGACAGAAAACAGTAGTGTTGCTTTCCATTTTACTATCCATGCATTCAGTTCTTCCATTACTTCTGGGTAAAAAAGGACTTAGATTAAACTTCAAGAAGTTCACTTGTCTGATTCCCCTAAAAAAAAATGAACTGTCCTAACACAAAGGAAGCACTACAAAAGATAAATTGTACATGATCAGGAAAAAATTTATAGCAAGAACCAAACCCACATGAAATGACTATGGAACCCAAGGAAGCAAAATAAAAGCCTTTCATACAGGAAAATTTAGATTAAAGTTCAAAAAAGTCTTGATTGAGAGATTCAGCTATAAATCTGCCTCTTATCAGATTAGGTGGAAACACTGTTATTTGATTGGTGTAATACTACACCGAAAAAAATAAAATATATTATACAAACAATCCTGCATGGGCAGAGTGGTAGAAAACATGAACTAATTAAAGTCTTCAACCTAATGGATCTTTCTGACCTCTATTCCTTCTATATGCTCTCTTTCTCCTCCCCCCACCCCTCCCAAATCCAGCCTCATTCTTGAATGAAAAGTTCTGGGATGCATCAAGAAGATGTAATTGTTTACCTCCTTAGAAGTGATAGGGAAACATTAATAAGTAATATTAGTTTATCTGTAATGGAAATAACCTTATGATAATCAGCTGCAGCTAAATTAACTGAAAAAACATATTCACCTCTGAACTTATCCATTTCTGTTTCCTAATGGCCCATCTGAGGCTAGCAGTTTACTCCTACAACTCTGGATGTTTATACACAAGCTTGGGGAAGGCAGGGATGGGGTGAGGTGCTTTAATTAGAGTGGCTCCAAGAGCCACCCTACCTAAGGTGACTGGAGTGTCTCATGTATCAACATCCCTGTGCTTAAAAATGGCAACAGAGGCACTTTAATTAAAGCTTGTTTGACAAGCTTTAAAGCATCCCCGCCATTTTTAAGCATGGGAATGCTGATATACAAAACCCTGGAGTCTGCTGGAGCGTTGGAGCAGAATTGCTGCTCGTGTATAGGGACCCTCTAATTACTATTATTAGTTCAAAAGAAAAAACTGATACACCAGAAATACATTGCCATAAAAAAGATCTTCCTGATGGAGATATTTAGAATGTCTGTCACAACATGTAGTGACTTACTATTTTCATAAAGTAAACACTGGTAACTCAGGGTAACTACTGAGTTTTTGTCCTTGCATTTGTCAGCCATGTTGATAATGAGCTTGAACAGAATCAACATCTGTAATGTGATCTTCATTTCTATTCCTGCCCCTTCATACTGGATAAAAGGTTCCAGAACAGCATAGAGAAACTCTCTACCAACACCAACTCATGCAGGGCAGAGAATTCGCTCGGTTACAGGCATTACACAAGGCTACTGCATGCCCTTCACAAACCTTATGTGTTTACCTAAATTATTTCACCCACATATAGTAGATGAAATCATGAAAAAGCAGCATAAAGCAAAGACAAGTAATATCATTTCCTGCACAAAGTTGAAAACTGCAAACTAAAGAAACATAATGAGAAAAAATTTTGATGTGTTTATTTTTAAGTGAAAGAAATAAGAAAATAAATTTTCCCTATTTTTACATGCAAAATTTGGATCTTCCAGCTCCACCCAAAATGTGAGAAAGGAGACTATGGAAGATGCAGGTTAAATATCAGTTTTATTGAACATTCACTAGCAGCATATGTGCAAATAGGAAAAACTGACCACATTCTGATTTCGATTAGGTTGAAGTAATCCAAATTAATTTGATTAAATTCAAATCAGTTTTCAGATTAATACTGGTATGACTGAAATTAGACTCTGTCTTGGAGAAAGTAAACATAAAAAAATAACGTGATGTAATGAATGGTTCAGATAAGAAAAAAAATCAGCAGTCTTGTGTGGTGCTTGTGTTTATGGTAGATAAACTACAACCTAGTGAAAGGCCAAGACAAGGCCTACTACACACCTTTTGTTTTGCATAATCTCCTGGTGGCAAGGCTTTGGCCTGGCCTGATGTACTGACTTTTACAAAGTAAGAGGATTAGCAAAATCATTTTTATACTATGCTAGAGTATGTAAACATGTATTAAGAAGCAAATCAGAACTCTTACAAAATATACCAGATCAAACTGAAGCAAACTACTTGAGACTTAAAACTTACCAATTCCTTGCTTATTTGAGCCTGTCCCAAGAAGCTGGTTGGTACTTGTTTTACACCATCCATTCAGTCATGGTATTGTGTAGCAATTACAGTTGTTTGGGTTATGATTTTTTTAAGAATAACAGATTAATAAATATATTAAGTTATCTATACATAAAGTTAACATGCTGATTAATCGTTTGTCTCTGTTACCTTAAAATTAATTGCATTCATTTCAGAGGGGTAATACTGGAATTAATTTGCAGTAGGTACTGTACAAAACTCCATGTGCTTATGTTATTTGGCATGTTTTTACCAGCACAAGTCTACATAATTGCTAAGACAATACTCACTGTTTCCTATGCTTTATCAACCATTGATAAGTCAAACTAATGCTAAGTAATTTAGTGTTATTGTGATTGGCTAATTATGGAGATGACATTGACGTGCAGTGCTTCAAAGTAGTGTAACAGCATTTCCAGTTTGCATCTGTTCATTCCTATTTGCCACATGAAAAGAGAAATAACTAGGATTCAGGCATTTGGTTGATTCAAGTTGAGTGGTGATATCTTAACTTACCACTAAAGTTTTTTTTTCCAACACTGCTTTTTCCCAGCTACTTATTTTAAAATGGCATTTGATAAAAATAGCTATTTTATATATTCTGCTAAATATTAGTTATGCTGTTTATACTAATGTTTCAGCAATAAAAAATGTCATTCTGTTAAATCTTCATTATGGTCTTGCATTTATTCTTGATTATCTACAGGACTCTGATACAAATAAACATGCTTTATAGATAAACTAGCTAAATCTATAAAAAGCATATTAAAACTGTTTTTCAAAACTTTATTTTTGGCACAATTCAAATCAAATCAGAATCTTTATGAAGCCTCAGGCTTCATTTTACATGTAAAAATGTATTAATACGTTGCTAACTAAATTGTTTGATATATACACACTTGTATTTCAATTCTTGATCTCAGAAGGTGTTAATTGGGCAAATACACACATTTAAATCCATGGTTCATTTTTGTGAGATGGGGATTGGAAAATCCCAAGCTCTATTAAACTTCCTACCTGGTGATGAAACAAAATGGCTAGAAAATGCCTTCACTATCAGCTTCTTTTCATACAACTGTAATGAAAATGATAAGAAATATGTGTTCTGTGCTATGCAGGGAATGTGAGCTGAGATAATTTACAAATGAAATGTCCTGAGATCAAGAATTAATTTAATCTTCTCCAAAGGTAACTGCAATACATCCCCTCTTTGAGACTATATATTCAAATAATCCATCTAAAATATTAATAAAAACAAAAAAAATAAAATGAACACTTTTGAAATCCCTTTGAACCAACCTATCCTCCCCCCTCTCCAAAAAAATGAATGGCCAAAATAAATTATCTAAAAACTGGTTTTGCAACACACATAGGGCAAAGTTGAAAAGTCTAAGTTAATAGAGTTTTATAAAACTGTTAAAAATTCCATAGGTACTAGTCTGCAAGTCTCCTGAACAGGTAACAATGAGAAGTTAGGTTATTTTAGCTGCTTTATCATCCAGCAGGGTGTGGCCTGCTAGGAACAAGTAGTAAGAAGGAATGTATTAAGACAACAGGTTAGTCATGAATCTCTTATATACAAGGCTGCCAACTGTAGTCATGTAAAATTAAATAAAAAGTTGAATGGATAATTGTTGGTTTAGAGTAAAGAGACCTTTAAACTCACTTTGGGAATTTCTGGGATTGGCGTAAGTGAAACAGGAAATATGATGACATTATTATCAATTGTTTAATGTGAAATTCTTGTACCTTCTGGGGAGGAATTGCATATGGGTTGATTTTATTACTGTAATTTTTCTTCTGTAAAGAAACACACAAGTAGGTTTTTATGCATGGGATTCTTCTCGTATGCACGACCCTCTGAATGGCTAGTGTGGAGCCTGCGCTGTAACAGAATTTGGACCACAAAATCAATAGACTGAATTATACATAAACGTCTAAGAATTTTTAGAAGGATTTCTTTAGAAACAGGCTATAGCTCATTAAAAAGTGGCTTATAGTGACATGCACATACACTTTAAAAAATAAAACAGTCCCAAATTATAGCAGACCTAAAATACTTTGTTAAAATGGTGAGATGTCACTCATTTTAAAAAACAAATGCCTTCTATGGTTGTAACCAAAAATACCCATACAAGTTGTTAGAATCACTTTATTGATTTTACCAAGTGAAAAAACAATGCACAATAGAGTAGTGAAAAGAGCAAAATACTGCAACTGACATTCTGCTAACATTTTGTTGCTCCATATGTCAAAGTCCTGTTGCACAGAAGACAATGAACTCCTTCACTGGGATTGTATGTTCCTGGGCTACAGATAACTATATGCAGGGAGAGAAAAAGAACAAAGCAAGATTAAGATGCTATGAATTGAATGACTTCTAAAACACTGAATAGATTAGAAATGTTTTTAAATTCTTTTTTGATGTATCATCAACTATTTGGCAAGACGACAATTTTTTCCAGCATCCTAATATTTGACTGTGACATCGTGTTGGAAAATGCATCATATTCTTCTCTTCAGAAAAGTAATTACTGTAGTATGACTTTCCTGGTTGATCTACTCACAGGTAAACTGTTTCACTAATGAAACAATGAGCAGTAACCAACAGACTTCAGCAT